AGCCTGCTTCTCCCTCTCCCACTCCCCCTGCTTGTGTTCCCTCTCTCGCTGGTTCTCTCTCTGTCAAATAAATAAATAAAATCTTAAAAAAAAATTAAAAATGCTATTAAAAAATGTATTGGACAACCTTGACAAAACAAAGCCGTAAGGAAAACAAAGCTTAAGCATTAAGCTGAGGAATATTGAGATATCCCAACTGAGGAAAATTTTATCCCAACATCTTTGTTAATTGTCATTCAGGTAGGAGAAAAATATATAAATGACCCGGTATAAGGAAAGAGCACTTTATACTCTCTGAAATCTTCTTCTTCATGATGCAAGCTTAAATTCTGTTCCCTAAAGGAAAATTTCATAGTGCCGCCCCTACCACCACCAATGCTAGAGACAGCTTGGGGAGCATTAGACCGCCTGGGAAGAATTAAGTTTGGAAGCTTTCAGCCTAACTGTATACAATGAGGTGGAAGGGAGCCTCCTTCTGGTCAATTACATAGAGGAGAATTTTGGTTTTTACCGAGAAAGTTCTTTGCCTATTTTACAGCTAAAATTGCAACCAGCTTCTCTTATTAAAAAAAGACTCGGCAGTATTAATACAAGAAGAGCAAAGAAAATAATCACTCCGAACTACCTCAGGACAAATATGCCCAAACATACATGCACTTCAAAGTGAAGGAAGTTCCGCCCTGTTTCAACTACTAAATAATCATTTTACACAAGAGTCAAATTCAAAAGAAAACACAGCCTACACATTAAATATGTTCTCAAGTTATCAGTAGACTTAGGACAAAGCCTATAAGCTAAATAATTTGCAAGTGAATTTTTAAATGACCTTTTCTTCATTAAAATATTAATTTAACGTAGTCTAGATGTAGACTTCTAACGTATTTTTTTAAAAACAAGGAATGCTTCACAAATTTGTGTGTCATCCTTGTGCAAGGGCCATGCTCATCTTTAATGTATCGTTTCAATTTTAGTATATGTGCTGCTGAAGCAAGCACTAGACTTTAATACTTATTATAATAAATGTACTATAGGAGCATAAATCCTGATACATATATTTTAATTTACAAATCCATCAGTTTGATTAATGGAGCCATTTTTCTCTCCAATCATGTTAAATTACATCCATAGCCAAATTCCTGAAGTAAATTACGAGCTCATTCGGGAAACATCCTGCCAAGAGAGTATTTGGCGCACAGTAGGCAGTCAATAAATATTGAAAATGATAAACATTTATTCTACCAAAGCATATATAGCAGTATAGATTTTTAACCACGTGTGAACTCTTCAATTGAAATGTTAACAACAGTCCAGTCGGTCCCTCATCCAACACACCTGAGAGTTGCTTTCCCTTGCATTAATTGAAATGCATTCAGGAGAGAGACGTTAATTAATATTAATCAAGCCTACCAGGAAAGTAAGGCAGTGCTATTGCCAATGGGCCCTGAGACCATAGAATAATGATTTTAGAGTCACTGCATTCTTTGTTCCCTCGGCTTATGCTGACATTTAATTGTATGGGATAATGTAGACATAATCACTGATCAAGAAAAATCAGGGTGGGTGGGGCTCAGGTGTGTCCTTTTCCATACTCTGGGAAGGCTTCCTCAATTCCCATTCACAGAATTGTGAATATTGAATGGGGGTTTGCCCTGCACCAGGTGCTGTACTAGGCACTTCATATACAGAAGTGAAAGGAGATGTGGTTCCTGTCCTCAAGAAGCTTATAATCTAGTCCACATAAGTTGAAACTCCTAACTGCAAAAAAATATTGTAAGTGCTGAGATAGAAGAAGGAGAACACAAAGGGGGAAGCTGTCAGTGTGGAGTCATGTCTAGGGAAGGAAAGCTATAAGAAATTCTCCCATTGTACCTGAGCACACCATTCCCTGCCGTAAAAGGCATCTGAATGACTCCATCTCCCTGTGAGTGCTATAGGAAATGTTAAGGAAAAGCAAATGTAGGAAAAGAAGGCCAACCTGGGAAGGACTCACAGAATCACAGCGTAGTTTGCAATAAGCCAGTCCTCAACCAACAGGATTTGCCTAAGAGCAAATACCGGAAGGTACTTTCCTGCTGGGTGCCACACGTGGACAAACCTATAAAACCTGATAGACTGCCTTACACCGTAGATACTTTTTCACCTTGGCTTTCACTCACCAACCTTAGAAATAAGCAAGGGCTTGGAACCCCGACTCGCCAGGGCCAAAGCCCTCCCTTTTCCCTAGACAGTTCTCCAAAGAGATTTGCATATTCTGTACAAATAGAATTCCTGGAGGTTTATTTAGAATTCCCAAATTAATCTGAGCTCAAGAGGCCAATGAGCTCCCTCTCTCACCTGAAGGCCATTCCCAGGCACCTATCACCACTACCGGGTGGGCATGTCACCTCCAGCAAGGACTATGTCTCCTACTTCTTCCTTGGCATCCTCATTAACTCCTGCCACAGTGCCTCACAGGTAGCTCATTGGATGATTGATAATAACGAGGATGATAAACAACAAACACAGAAACTCTCCAAAGATGACCAGAATGGTAAAATCCCAAGATTTTGCCATGTGTTAGAAGTTATATATGGTTAGTGGGCAGGATAACCTATTAAATACATTCTATGGGTTTTATATTCCCATTCTTTCTTCCTCCACAGTACTGTATATAATAGAGGATACGCTATCATGTGTGTTCTTGATTTGTGCTGCCCACGAAGAAAAGCAGAGGCTCCTGTTGATGCCAAATAAGGCATTTTATCGGCCTAACATAAGTCACCGTATGGAGCAGGTTCTACCTGAGGCCTGCCTGGGTAAGTCCAAGTCATTGTGAGACCTTATGTCCAATTTATCCAGGGTTCTGATTTACCAAGTAATGTCCCAAGGTGCTGGCTTACATGTCCAGCCTGTGTTAGTAAAGCCAGGCACGAGAGCCCTAACCCATGTCCAGGAAGCAGAGGGAAGCCTTTGATCTATCTCACTGGGAGGCCACAGTTCTGTTGCTTGCACCCTCTTCTGGACCCATAAAGCTCCTATTTGTTGCAAGAGCATGTATTTGGAAAATTCAGGGTCAAAGGGCTTGTTTGCTTTAAGAAAGGTGAAGAACAAGCTCAATAATTTATGGAAGTTTTATTTGATTACTAGGTCAGTGGTTTAATTTTGCATATGTTCTCATGAATGTAACCACTGTGTTTTATGTGAAGATCATCTTGTAAACTAAATGCGCTGGCAGAGGAAAATCAGTTTGCAGCACCCAAGACATCAAGGAAATTGGCAGCCGTGGAAAACACCTGTAATGCTTTCCTCCCCAGCTTCCCAGCTAACCACCAGCAAAGGAATACCCTTGTTCAAACGCTCTCCTCTGCAGTGGTTAGCTCTTCTGTCGACCAATTACCTTCTGGCTAAATTTCAGTGTGAAGTAGAACCTGGAAGTAATGAGAGCACTTACCCTGGTGTTATTTTATTGAAGAAAATATTATGTAACTTAGTAATGTTTCTCATGTCTCATGTACTCCTAATCAATGGCAAGTTAATTAATAACAAAAAGAGAAATTCTGTGATGTGTGTGTTCGCATGCGTGCTCACACGTGCAGAGGTTGACACGCTTTGTTTCAAGGGGCCAAGAGCTACACACTAAAGTGTCCTTATAGGAACTTCAGAGCCTTGTATATTTACCTTAATCCTACTAGGGATGGGAGATCCAACAGTGCAGACAATTCCCATCTGCAGTTGCCATTATGATGCAAGTGGGTGTCATCATTAAACTCAAGACAGCCTGTTTAGGTTTTGCAAGCAATCCTGGACCCTGCGGTTCTCTAATGTGGTTATCAAAGAGTTATGATAGCACTTCATGGCTGCAGCTACCATGTGTGATTAAAACCTACCTTTATTTATTTGACCTCTCTGTCAAATAAATAAATACAATCTTTAAAAAAAAAAAAGGTGGCACCTGGGTGGCTCAGTTTTTAAAACCTACCAGATGACATTGTACTGGACATATTCCCTTTAATCCCTTTCCCATAATTGCTGAAACCTTGCAGGACATATATTTTTATCCCTATTTTATAGATCAGGAAACTGAACTTCAGGGAAGTTTAAAAGTGGAAAAGATGATATGTGAACCTAAATTAGCCTGACTCCAAGGTCAAGCTTTTTCCACTACATGCATAGCCACTGACTTTATATACTTCAAGGATTAGAGCCAGCCACACAACCTTATTTTCTAATTGGTGAGCTTGGCCATTGAAGTGAGGCAGTTGGTTCACCAGGCAGAAAGGACAGGATACACACAGACCTAAAGGTGAGAGGGAACCTGCATGTTCCAAATCCTGCAAGGTCTCCTGTGCTGCTGGAGGGGGTAAGAATAGAACATAATGACACTGGACAGTTAGAATAGAGCATGAAGGTTCTGGTGAGAAATGTTAGGACTCCATCTTAGAGGGAACATATTCTCTGGACAAAAAGTTATGATTTAGATCTCAGCCATCCAAAGAGAGCCTCAGGGAGCTAGAACCATTGTTCACCTGACCCATCTTAGGAACAAAACACTATTCTTGTAAGATTTTTCCCTTTGTGCTCCTCACTCAGCCCTAAAGAGTGATTGTGGTGTTCTTCCCCTTGGCAGTGACATGACTCTCTAGCAGTCTCATGAACACTCATGAGAGAACTGAGGGGAACAAAACAGGGGAGGACTGGTGCCAAAGAAGGTGTCATTCATTCATTCATTGGTCCATTCATTTGTTCGGTCATTCATTAAACCCAGGCAATACAGCAATAACGGTTTAAAGCAGGGGTTGCCAGTCTACCACCAAGTCAAATGTAGCCTATCACATATTTTTGCAAATAAAGTTTTATTGGAACACAGCTATGCATGTTTATTTATTATACATTGTCTGTGACTGCTTTCACACTAAAAGAGCAGAGCTGGTTTGTTGTAACAGACACAGTATGGCCCACAAAGCTGAAAATATTTACTGTCTGGCCCTTTACAAGAAAAGTCGGCTAACCCCTACTTAGTTGATTTAAATACCAACTCTGCCATCTGGGCTCTGAACCTCAGTTTCCTCTTCTCTGAAGCAGAGATGATAATAATGGTGTTACCTATTAGATTTTCTGTGAGGATTAGATCATTTTTATGTGCGAAGTACCCAGCACAAAGTAAGCACTGAATAGTTGAATTAGTTGTTGTTGTTATTTATTCCTTTACCAATATTGCAGGAATGGCTAGGAAATTGGACAAGGACTACAAATGGCTGCTGAGCTATTTGAAATGCCTGTTATGTGGGCACATAGAAAGTAGGGTATCCAGGTGTGGATTATGCAGGAAGAGTTAAGGCTGGGTATACACATTTGGGAGGTAATCACATATGATATATTTAAAGCCACAGATCTGGATGGAATTACTGGGAAAAGCATACGTGGAAAGTAGAGGAGGGCCAGACACCAAATCCAGTTGAGGTTTGTGATCATAAATTTAAAGTTAGCCTAGTAAGCACTGTCACATTTTCTTCCAGCTACATTCAGTTGTACTGACACAGTGATGGAATAGGAACAAAGTTGAATTTACTCAAGTTTGGAATTCTCCCAGACAAAAACAGGAGTGGGGCAAAGGAGCTGAATATGTATACATGGAAATTATTTAACAATAGACTGGGAAATTTTAACCAGGTAAAGAGGATGTGGAGAAAGGGGAACCCTCCTACACTGTTGGTGGGAATGCAAGCTGGCGCATACTAGAAAACAGTATGGAGGTTCCTCAAAAAGTTGAAAATAGAGCTACCCTACGACCCAGCAATTGCACTGCTGGGTATTTACCCCAAAGATACAAATGTAG